AAACAAGCGGACTCTCGAAAACAACAAGCAGAGAGCGTGAGATAATTTTTAACATCCTCAGGAGCCCCAAATGAGACACTGGGTCCGCAGCGGGACGGACCGACACTTTCATCCAGGAGCTCAACAGCGCTACTGTTGTGTCCAGTAGATGGCGTTGTAGGCTTGTTCTGATGCTGTGCCTAGAGGAAAAAGAGAGTAGAGTAAAAAGGAGTTAATGGAAGAAACGTGTCCATGTCTGTTTGTTCTGAGTATTAATTTATTTGAGAGAATACTACATATTGGCGACAAGGATGGCGAGTGTTCCTGCCCCTCCACCATTTCTGCAAAATGTAGGCGAGCCACCAATTCATTTTGATACGTGGCAAAAGATTTTTTCAAACTACCTAGTGGTAATAAATGCTTCGGGAAACACATGGGCTGATGCAAGGCGTCGTGCAACTCTACTACATTGCCTGGGCACCGAAGGTCAAAGACTTTTCTACACATTACAGTACACAGGTACAAAGTTTGATCATGCAATGGAAGCGCTTACAAAACATTTTGTTCCGAAATTGAACATTGTTGCATGCCGACATAAGTTTCGCCAAAGATCACAAAGAAATGACGAGACTGTGCCTCAGTACATTTCTGCACTACGGGAGTTAGCTGTCCAGTGTCAGTACTGTGCTATGGAGCAAGAAATGCTGCGTGATCAGCTGGTGGAACAAGCGTGGCTGCCTGCAGTGCGAGACAGATTATTGCTGGAGGATGAGCTCACTCTGGAAAAAGCGGTGAATTTAGCGTGTCAAGTTGAGTCCGCTGTGCGAAATGCTTCACTCCTCTCCGGTAAGGACGCAAGTGGAAACCAACCACAGAGTGCTGTGCAAGCTGTTTCGGCGAATAAAAGTCAGTGGAAACGTCATAAAACACGCTCCGAACAATCAAAGAGACGCGAAGATTCTAAAGCGCCAAAACCAAATCAACATTGCTACCGCTGTGGATCACGTAATCACTTAGCTAATGATAGAGACTGTCCTGCTGCATCTGCTATTTGTAATAAATGCAAAAAACGTGGTCATTTTGCAAAAATATGCCAATCGAAAGCAAAAACAGTGCAATAAATTTCTGTGCCAGAAATGACAGTGCTTAATTTGAACGCTTCAGTGGATGATAAAATTTACTGTGAATTTGAAATAGCAACATCACAAGGCTGTACGCATAAAGTGAAACTGTTAGTGGATACAGGTTCAAGCGTATCAATTCTTTCACAATCCTTGTACGAGGATCATTTCACATCTACTCCTTTGCTTCTGCCCAAAGCCCAACTGGTCACTTATTCTAAACAGCCCTTGCCTGTACTGGGTTGTATGACTGCTACAGTGACTCATAATGCCATTACAGCTGACGCAAATTTCTACATTGTAGAGAGAGGAGCACCTCTCTTGGGACTGGATCTAATCAGAGCACTGAACTATCATGTAGCATCTGAAGATGTCACTGATATGCACAGTACTTCAATGCATGCCATTCAAGCGACAACTAGGGTGCTCAATTGTGCGGACGAACATTTAAATGTGCAAGACGAGTGTGTAAAAGGATTCATACATAAGGTGCAAGTGGACAACACCATTAAACCTGTGCAGCAAAAAGTTTGCCGGCTTCCACTGTGCGTTCGCCAGGATGTGTCAAATGAGATCCAACGGCTGCTAAAAGCTGGAATCATAGAGCCCATAGATGCGAGCCCCTGGGTTTCACCATTAGTGGTGACGAAAAAGAAACAAGGAGGAATTCGTATGTGTGTGGATTTACGCGAGCCAAATAAAAGTATTATTGTGAATTCACACCCACTACCACATATGGAAGAGCTGTTTGCGGAGTTGAAGGGTGCTACAGTATTTTCGCAGATTGACTTACACAGTGCTTATCATCAGTTGCCTCTAGCTGTGGAAAGCAGAAACCTGACTGCGTTTCTATGTCACGAGGGACTGTACCAATTTACGCGGGTCCCTTATGGTCTCGCTTCGGCAACCGCTGCATTTCAAAAAATGATGCACACACTCTTAGGAGATCTGCCAGGTTGCCAATGCTATCTTGATGATATAATCTGTTATGGCGAAACCAAGGAGAAACATGACAAACGTCTGAAGGCTGTCTTACAGCGCCTCGAGAATGCAAACCTGAAATTGAACCTCAACAAAAGTACATTCGCCCAGCAGAGTGTGTCATACTTGGGCCACACTATTTCAGCTGAAGGCTTGCGCCCTAGTATGGATCACATGGCTGCTATCACAAGCGCACCTGCTCCTAGAGATGCCACTGCACTTCGCTCATTCTTGGGCCTCACTTCATGGCTAAGCAAATTCATTCCTAATTAC